CTCTCTTAGCCCGCCTGATTCCCTCCATCCTGTTCTGTTTGTTTCTGTACCACCTGCTCCTCTCTAATGTACTGTATCACTGATTTGGTATGTTTTCCCCTTTGCTGGAAGGGTGCATCATAAAAACTGATTGTTATTGCTGCTGTTGGTTTTGTTCATTCATTTATCCCGGCACTGCAACAGTGCCTGGCAGAAAGTAAGTACTCAAAAAATATTTGATGAGTGAATCGTGAGTAAATAGTAGAGAGTTTTTGCATTAGTATCTGGCCTGATTTACTTCTGTATGACTTAGTTCATAGCCACCTCTTCCACCATTCTTCTCCAGAGTGTGCCACATGGCAGGGTAATCATTCCTCCTAAGGAAGTGCAGCCTGGTTGTGAGCCCAGACAGCCTCCACCTACCTCGGAACATGATCGTTTCCCATTTCTCGGCTTTTACAAAATAGCTGCACAGCAGTATGCCTTTGAGTGAGCGTTCAGAGTCTCCAAAGAACACTGCTTTTTTTGTAGTCTTGCTGTGGGGTAGGGGTGGGGTCTCCACAAAACTCAATCTTGCCAAGGGCCACAATCTCTCTCTTTTTTATGCCCTGAAATATAAAGTCAGCTCAGGATCGACTTTTCAGCCATAGCTGACAATGCCTGTGTCCCTCTGTCTCCACCAGACACTGGGACCATTGGCTACGAGTGAAGTCTCAGACATACTTAACTCAGACAGCTTGACTGCTGCTGATGAGAAAGAGTCACACCACAGTCAAACAATGTGCTCCTGGATGGACCTGAACGTGCAAAGGATGTTGGAGGTAGGTAAATAGTGAAGAGTTTAAAGATTACTTTCTCTTAAATCATGTTCTGCAGATTACTTCTCTTCTTCCCTTTTCCAATAAATACAGGGAGCATAAATTAAGTTGAGGAAGATGACAGATGGCTTCAGAGAGAAAACATGAGCAGTTGCTTTGTTTTTATTTGTGCAGACACGATGAGAGAGGCTCACGCCACAGCACGCGAGGGACAGGTATGGCTGCTGAGCAATGATTTACAGTATCCTAACGAGCTTCCCTTGGATGAAAAATAGATGGCTGCACATGGAAACTACGCTGCTCTACTCTTAAGGAGAATTGAGAATAAACAAAACCACCTTACCCAGCAGCTGACTTGAAGAGGATACTTCCCTGAGTTACCACTTCAGCAAATTTAAAATCGCAGAAGAGCACAGGGCTGTGTATGAATACCAATGCAAGAAACGACAATAGTATGTGCTCATTCAAAGGGCATAAGTTCCAAGCCCACCCCACAAAAGAACGCCTGAAACCATCATCAACTGGAACACATTTCTATTCTTGTCTTCCACCCACAAATTTAATGTCTTTCCATCTTAACTAAGCACTTATCATGCACTGTGGCCGTAATTTTGTGGTTTGAGGTGTGACGGCAAAACGAGCCTGAATTTCATCTCTTCCTTTGCAATTTCAAGTAAAGAAGATGCATTCTTACCGTGGATCTCAGCAACCTCAGCATTGGATGTTTCTTTTCTCTTTCCTTATTAAATACTTGCACTTTGGGCCCATTATCAAGTAACATAAGAGTTACTCGAAAACAAGCACTGTGATATCTCAACTGCTGATCTGCTCACAGAGATGACTGCAGAGTGACTCATGGGTGGAGAGCGTCCACAGCCTGAATTCACTGGACAAGGGGTAATTCCCGTCCCAGGCAGAGTAGAGCAGGAGGGCATGCTGCACAGAACGGTGTGCAATTTGAAACTTGTCAACTGTTCATTTCTGAAATTTTTCATTTAATATTTTTGGACTGCTATCGACTGTGGGTAACTGAAGCTGCAGAAAGTGAAACTGTTACTCGGGAACTGCTATATTCCAACAGCACAACTCCTGTGAGCATGTGAAAACGTAAGTCAGCATAATATTGGGATGACGTATTGATTTGCTTGCCTACCTTGTGAGTTAGCAATGTACTAAACTCGTTTATAATTGCAAACTATTAAACTTCCTCTAAGGGTAGCATTGCACTATACTTTGGGGGGAAAGATGCAGGAAACTGTCAAGATAAGTTCCTGAGTGTTAAGGGAATATAAAGAAATGCTAGGGGCTGGGCACAGTGGCTCATGCCTGTAATCCCAACACTTTGGGATGCTGAGGTGGGCAGATCACTAGAGGTCAAGAGATCGAGATCACCTGGCCAACATGGTAAAACTCCGTATCTACTAAAAATACAAAAATTAATTAGCCAGGTGGGGTGGCACATGCCTGTAGTCCCAGCTACTTGGGAGGCTGATGCAGGAGAATTGTTTGAACCCAGCAGGCAGATGGTGCAGTGAGCTATCACGCCACTGCACTCCAGCCTGGGACAGGGCGAGACTCCATCTCAAAAAAAAGAGAGAGACTTTGGGGATGCCGATCTCAAGTAGAAAGGCAAAGAGCGCTTCATACTTCCAAGACATTACCTTGGCACCTTGAAGAACGCCTAAGTTGGAGTTAGCTAAATGAAGATGTGGCTGAGTGAGAGGGGATGTGATTAGCAAAAGGAAGAGCTTGAGCAAAGAGTTGAAGGCAAGAAAGTGTATCTTGAAGGACACACAAGGGACAACAGGCAGGAAGGCTTTCTCTGCTATCCTAAGGAGTCTGGGTTTAACCCCGCATGGAGAGCTGCTAGGAGAATTTGAGTAAGGCAAAGACATGATTACATTTTAGAAAAAATGATACCACTGGTACTACAGAAAATGTATCAAAGTTGAAGCGACTGGATACCTGATGTTCAAGTCCCTGAGAATGAGACCCGACAGAGACCTTCTAAGGGGGTGGCAGGTAGAGGGGAATTCATGATGAACTCAGTTTGGAATATGCTGAGTATGTCATATATTCAGAGAAATGTTTAGGGTAGTGGGAAAGACATGATTTGGGCGTAAGAGAGGAAAAACATTTGAGAGCACTGATGTCATACGGTGATTTATCACAGCATGTATGGTCTCTTGACACATTTTCTACTTCATGGCTTCCCTGACTGGAAATCAACTCCATGAGGGTGAGAACTTTGCTTTATTTCTTTGTTTCCACCATCTAGAACTGGCCTGAACCACAGTGAGCGCTCAGCAAAAATTTACCAAAAAGATGAATTCTTTAGGATTGTAGTTGAAATGATGTCTTCAGATGTGTTTACTCTTTACATGCAGTGGAAATGAAATAAGAGCATCGAGTGAAACTGTAGGCAAAACACTGGGTGGATAACGTCATTTGACATGGAAAAAGCAGCATGGAGGAATTAGGAAAACAAGAGATAATGAAGTCCTAGAAGACAATGGAAGCAATTATGGAAAACTGCTTTAAATGTCATAGAGCTCCAGGACCGAATTTACAAATGACCTCATAAAGAAGTCCACTGTGGTTTCCTTGCAGAGGTGGGAGCAGAATCAGAGTGGTAAGTACTGAGGGATTAAGAGGAAGTGATGCTATCATTCCTCCTTTCAGATAATTGAGAGTGAGAAGAAAACAGCAGTAGCTCCTGCCACAAATACTGAGTAAGGAATAATTTTGTCTCCGTTTTTACATTTTTATTGAGAGCTGTTATGATTAAGTAAGAAATCAGTAGTGAAGTTGAGGCTGAAGATAGGACAGAGTGGTAACGGGAGGAAGGAGATGTACAGACAGTGTAAGACCAGATCTCATTAGCTTCCAGCTATAACCTGAGTTCCATGCAAGCAGTGGCTACATAGTACACGTTCAGTAAATGCTTATTAATTGAATGAATATATGTTTGAATTAGATAATGATGAAATACATGAATATATGTGGGTCAGAATCAGGAAACAGGTAGAATAGTAGCTTTGACTGGTGGGGGAGGAGGCCTTGTCTGTCTCTGTGTCTTACTTTTTCCAGGCAAACACAGCTTGACTCCCGTGAGTTTTTGTTTTTTTTTTTTTTTTTTTTTTTTGAATATTAAGGGGCTAATGCCTTTTTGGGCCCTAAACCCAGACCTTTGGTGTTCTTCTCTCTGCACTTACATACAGTTAGACATGCTGTGATCGCACGTCTATCCCCACTTTCCTTCCCCTCCAGCCTACGTTTTTCAGTTCCACTTAACTCCACCATACTTTGAATGACTCATTTTATTTTACCTACATGTACGCATCCTCATCTCACCCTCTTAACCAACACACCCACATTCTACCTGCTCTCCCTATTCCACCTCTGAGCAATTGCAAACATTATCTGAGATTTCAAGGCAAACTTTCTGTTTTGCAACCAAACCTGTCTCCTGTTAAACGCATGAGAAAAACCTCACCTCCTTTATGAAGTTGTCAGAGACTCCCTACAAAACACTAACTCAATGCTATAACTCATCTGCTATTTTTATGTGTGGATTAGCTTCAGATCGTTTTTCCATGGAGACACACAGGATGTACAGTGTTTACTCGCATAGCACGTTCCTCGTGAGGACACCTTGGAATGCTGATCTTTTCCCTGAGCACTTGCAGTAAATTCTCCTTTTTTCCTCCTATTCTTAATGAATATGAATTATGTTACAGGAATAACATTAAATCATCTCTATGTTAGTACTTTTATAAATTCTCACGTAGCTACCAGGAACAAATATTTTTCAAAAAATCACACCAGTACTCCAGACTCTTTGAAAAGGTTAGAGCACAATTAAGGCAGACTTAAATATTCGAACAGACAGAAAACTTTTCCCTGTATGGCTGCAGACTGTACCTCTCTGACCAGCCATCTTACCAGTTTGAATTTCTGGTGATGAGGGGATTTAGAAACGGTGTGCCTTCACTGGATTTACCACAAATACTATGACAGCAATTCAAAGATTATGCCGTGTTCTTAAGTACAATGTGGAAAACGTTGATTTATAACACGGAGGTTGTATTTGTTATCTATTAATCGCTGCATAATAGATTACCTAATGACATAGAGGTTTAAGGTGTTTATCAAAACTGTCTCCTACAGTTTCTACGAATCAGAAATCCAGGAAGAGCTTACCTGGGTCACTCTGGTCCTAGCTCTCTCATGAGGTTTCAGTCAAGATGTCAGCAGGGCCTGCAGTCATCTAAAGGGTCCACAGGGGCTGAAGATATGCTTTTAGGTGGCCCATTTTCATGCCTGTCAAGTTGGTGCTGGCTTTGGTAGGAGGCCTCAGTTCCTCACCATGTGGTCTCTCTTCCCTCCACCTCCGTGAGGCTGCTGGAGTGTCTTCATGTTACATAGCAGGTCGCTTTTCCTGGAGAGTGCTACAAGAGGGCAAGACAGAAGTCTCAAAATCTTTTATGTTCAGCCTGAGCTCACACGCCATCATTCTTGCAATGTCTTATAAGTTACACAGGTCAGCCTAATTCAGTGTGGCAGGAAACTGCGCAGAAGCATGAATACCGGCACTCGGTGACTGATGGGTCCTCCTGACCTGGGTTTTGCAACCCAGATTCCTAGATTATATGTGTAGGATGTTTATTTTTATATGTCAACTTGACTGTACCAAAAGGTGCCCAGATTTAACATTATTTCTGGGTATGTCTGTGAGGGTGTTTCCAGAAGAGATTAGCATCTGAATCAATTGACCCAGTAAAGTAGACTGCCCCTCGAATGTAGGTGAATGCCATCAAACATAGGTGGCAAAAGGAGGAATCTGCCCGTTTTCCTTTCTGCCTGCCAACTTGAGTGGCAACACTGGTCTTCTGCTCTTGGACTGGAAATTACACCAGCTGGGATTACCCAGGCTCCTACTGATTCTATTTCTTTTGCTTGTTTGTTTTTTTGAGAAGGAGTCTCACTCTGTTTCCCAGGATGGAGTGTAGTGGCACAATGTAGGCTTGCTGGAACCTCTGCCTCCTGGGTTCAAGCGATTCTCCTGCCTCAGCCTCCTGAGCAGCTGGGATCACAGGCATGTGCCACCACGCCTGGCTAATTTTTAAATTTTTCTAATCCAGATGGATTTTCACCATGTTGGCCAGGATGCTCTCGCTCTCCTGACCTCATGATCTGCCCACCTCAGCCTCCCAAATTCCTGGGGTTACAGGCGTGAGCCACCATGCCTGGCCAATTCTGTTTTATGTATCTGTTTTCCTATTAGGATTTCTCTTACACGAAAACGCTTTGTTTAGTTCAGGTTCTTTACATTTTCATTACTTACCTTAGGGCCTTCACTGCAATTAGTGCTAAATAAAGATTCACTGAAAATAAAGAGACACCAATATATCAATTTTGGCCTATGTATTTTTTACATTTATTTTCAAATATTTCCAGGACAGTGAACAGTGCGATCAGTTTTCATTCAGCTAAGTCAGTTGGCTATATTTACTGCAAATGCCCATGCATGATATCAAGGGCATAATGGATATTGCAGGGACTCTGAGTCCTCTTCCAAGAGAACTGGAACTCCTGCCGGGATGTGGATAGCAGATGTGTAGTCCTGACAACAGGGACTGTGTTGTATCGCTGGATTAGATGTTCAACAAGGGAAAGTGGTGTATATGAGCTTTACACTCAAGATTTACCACTAATGCTTTCCAGACCCACAGGAACCTTCTGCATTTATTTTTCTCCGCTAATTTTAAGAGAATTAAAATTAGCCACGAGAAGTCAGAGACCAGTCCCATGTCTCAAAGATGTGGAGATTTTGGCATCTAACCTTCCAACCGACTTGCAGTAGAAGAAAGGCCTGACAAAACCTCGTTCATGTTACGTGTGCTCGTTTGCCCTGAACAGAGATGTGTAATCCAGAACATGACAGCAAGCACAATGGGACAAGGTTCAGCAACCTCCACCTCCAGCCAACTGCAGTGACACCGTGTGTAACAGGCTGGCAAAGACTTGGAGCCCAGGGGCAAATTGTTTAATGTATCCATGTCTCTTTTGCCTCCCTGTCTTGTAAAAATAGAGCGATGATGGCTGGCACATCTTACAGGACTCTTGTGACAAATGGCTAACAAAAACGCAAGCAAAAGCACTGTGCAAAAAAAGGGGACTGCAGGACACACCGTAACATGATGACACAGCCTAAGAGACCCACGAGCCCTGGGGATAATTAGCAGATTTGGGCAGTATCTTCAACGTCACAAAGGTCTGAGCAACCACATCTTCAAGGAGTTCATTCTGTGGTTGAATCAGGTACAGACTTCCTCGCTTTATCAGGATCTACTTCATCACGTTTTCTTGATAGCAAGACCAATGCTGTTCAGTGGGGTCAGGTCAGATGGTGGCAGGGCCAACGAAACGTAAGGAGTCAGGCCAAGCTAAAGGATGAATTCATGCCTGTCTGGTCACACTGACGGACTTTATCCCTGAAATCCTTTTACTCTCGTTTATGAATAAAGACACTTTAAAATTTTTCTAGCAGAGAAGAGTACTGGCTCTCAACTAGAATGTTTTTCAGACTCTTCTGTACACAAGATAACTCATGCGGCCGGGGGTAGTGGCTCATCCCTGTAATTCCAACACTGGAAAGCTGAGGCAGGAAGACCACTTGAAGCCAGGAGTTCAAGAACAGCCTGGACAACATGGCACAACTTTGTATCTACTAAAAATAGAAAAATTATCTGGGCATGTTGGTGTGCATCTGTAGTCCCAGCTACTTGGGAGGCTGAGGCAGGAGAGTTGCTTGACCTGGGAGGCAGAGGCTGCAGTGAGCCAAGATTGCACCACTGTACTCCAGTCTAGGCAATAGAGCAACACTCCTACAAAAAAAAAAAAAGTTAATTCATGGGAGACTGCCACCTTTATCCCCCATAGGCAAGGCAGATTTATTATTTCAAGATATCAAAATACTTTCCATTGAGGGAGCAGACTGGAGGTGGGAGGCTGGATCCATGCTTGATTTTGTACCACCCTCACCTTTGCTTTTAAGTATAGTTTTTGACACAGATTTTATTAAATGGAAATGTATTTTGTTCTGAAGTGTTGAAGAAAGGCTAAAGGAGTGGGAAGGAATGTGTGTAAAAACATATACAATAAAGGAAAAATTTTCAGCAACATGCAAAGACATCAGAATTGAAATCCACGTAAGTTATTAACTATGTGGAATGGATAAGTGGCTTATTATTCAAATGTTACAGATTAGAAAAATGAGACGTAAATGTTAACATCTATATGTATATGACGATTATGTGAGATAAATTTGTGTCTTTATTTTGAGTGTTTTGAGGGCAGCAATGGATTAGGGCTTTCTAAAATAGTAAATGGGCCAATCTAAATATGTGATTAAATTTTTTTCAGAGATATTTTGTGTGGTATTTACGGCAAGATGAGAATGTATTTTAAATTGATCTTTGATCATATTTTTATTCTTTTAAACATGTTCTGCCTCATTTTCTCCATAATAATAACTATAATTACATCCATTCTTCATTATAAAGCTGCTCTTTTTTCTTTTCTGACATTCCTGTTTCATTGACTAATGATGGTGAAGCTACCCCTGAGGTTATGTATAAAATTCAGGAGACTGGGAAGGAAAGTTACATGCAGTCCACAATGTATGTGAAACAGACAGGAGACAGGAGGGTAGAGTCCCTGGCGAGGGCCTCTCCTGCAAGCCTGGACCCCATGGCCCTAAATGAAAACACTTATTGCTGTTTTCCTGCTCAAATGTTGCTTTTTCCAAAACCACCCTGGCCCACCATGCCCCCTATCCTGTACCTATAAAAACCCCAAACTCTGCGGGCCAAGAAATAGAGAGAGATGGTAGAGAAGCAAAGAAAAGAAGTGTCTGAATGTCGAAAAGACAGCTGGACAGTCAGAGGAGTTCGACTGGGGATAGCTGAGCTCCAGGGGAAGATCATCTTCCCACTCAATCCCCTTTCCAGCCCCCCAACCCACAGAGAGCCACCTCCATTACACAATAAAACCTCTGCGTTTGTTCACGATCCCTCAAATTCATGCGACCTGATTCTTCCAGAACACTGGACAAGAACCCAGATACTAAGAGGGTAGAACCTATGTCACCCTGACTCTCCACTGAGCTTGTTTAACACTTAGCCATCTGTGGATAGCAACTGTTAAAAGAGGATTAACTGTAACACATGCCTTCTGGGGCTCCACAGGTCATGGGCAACTAACAGACACTGCCACTGGCTCCCAAAGGCACTCGCCCTGGCTCCTGCACCCACTCACCTGCGTGCTCCCCATCCTGCAAAGGGTTTGAGCTCTGCAACCAGGCAAAATAAGCTCCCGCCAATCCCCTACACCTTCTCTGTGGCAAGTCTCACAAGAGGGTCAGGAAACTCTCACATCTCATATGTATTATTCCGGTTCAGTCACCTGCAAAATAAATTTGCCAGAATTAGTGTTTACTATATAAGCTAAACAGCTATTTCAACCTGTGTGAGCTTCTAAAAATCAAATCAATGTTGTTCTGTCCAATTTTGGCTAAGGCTTCATATCTCTTTCCTTAAAACATCAGCTTAAATTTTACCATTACTTTTCTCTCTTCCTTCCCCTTATCCTATTAAATCATTACTAAAGACATTTAAAAAAATCATTTCCTTTCCCTTTCCTTTCACATGCTTGGATTCCTCAACAGAGATTTTATATAGAAAACATTTGACAGTATAGTCTACGTTTTCATAGTTAAAAGTATATATTTCATTAAAAAGAGAAGTCTATTTTTCAGACTTGTAGGACTCTGGGAAATAGACTTGTGGGAAAAAATGACTTTGTATTTACTTACAGATAAATTATCATGTGTCTGTAATTAGTAAGAGATCCACTACATGTAACTTATCTTTTTCTTATGTGTTGCCTGTTAAAGATGACCTTGTATTTATTTCCCAACACATTGTCAAGTGAAAGATGTTGTAAGAATGTCCTATATTTGAGGGATCTGTGGGGATCGCTCCCGTGTGAGGCCCCTAGGAAATGGGCCTCGCCATACGGTGAGCTTGAGCCCAGACAGAGATCCCCGGGTGGGGAAGTCGAGCTGAGGGAAAGCAGGAACCGAGAAAGGGACTATGTTATTCTAAATAATTAACAGACATTACTTTATGGATATGAGGACTTGGGAGGCATTGTGTCCACTTTTGGCTCCTTATGGTTTATTGCTTGATTGTGTTCATTTTGGACCCTTGTTACCTTCATTGTAAAATGTTAACTTAAGTATTTACACTTGGTAACTTACTTACCATAACTTACTGGGTGTAACTGTAACTTACTTACCTTGACTTTTTGGGAGTAACCTACTTACTGGGCGTAACCTACTTACTGGACGTAACTTACTTACTGGGCATAACTTACTTAGTGGGCTTAACTTGCCTACCTTGTGACTTGACTTAAGTATTTTGATATGATGTAAACAACATTAAGCAGAAAACTATCTAATGGAACCTATTGCAAAAATAAAATTGCTGCATGGGCATAGCACATGTGGCCCTCCAGACCTCACTCTTTTTCTTTCTCCTTTTTTTTCCGGCGCACGCTCTCTTCCAGGTTTGGGACCCTCTCGCTGGATGAGATTCCCGGGCTTGCGTTCAGTTCACAACATATATTCCTACATAATTTTATTGCATTGTACATTAATTTTTATTTTCTCTTTCTCTTATGATCCTAGCCTTTCCTTTACTTGAAGTAATTATCCAGTTGATAGAGAACTGTTTACTTTGGTTATTTTAATTACTTCAAGGAGAAATTCTAATGTAGAATGATTTTGTGATATATCTTTTACAGATTCAAAATACACACCACTAGTATAAAAATCTCCCCCGCATAGCTCATATACCCCCCACTCCTGTCTCATGATTCCCTAGCTTGTTGAATGCACTCATAGCATCCTTTTTAATCTGTATTGCTATCATGTGTTTTTCTGATCTGTTCCCCCTAGTAACAGTGAATTACTTGAGGATACAGATCTTATCTTTTTCAACTCTATTTTCAGCACCTTGCATTGTGAGTGGTTGTAAGTTAAGTAGTTCAATAAGCAGTTTATGACAAAATAAATAAATGTCAGCTAATTTTTATTTATATTCAAAGATAAAACTTTATTGTCATCATTACCTTTACCCAGTCTCATTTTTTTTTTGTTTCAAATAGCATCAATAAAAATATGACAATAACCATGCTCGTCCTTAGACTAACACCAATGTTTAGAAGCAGTGTCATGATATAGTTGCATTTTTTAAAAATTTAAAATATTTGCTTCTATACTCTGAGTCTTCTCAAAGAAATCTTTGAGCTAATTGTTGATTTCTCATATTTCTATTTGGTTATCTTTAAGACACTTAAAATTTCATCAATAATCTTCATAGAAATCACACTGTACCCAAAACATCATAAAATCTTACCATTTATAAAGGTACTTTAGAGTTCATCTGAACCAGTCTCCAAAATATTGAAAATGAAATTCTTTGGATTGATTGACATTCATGTACCCAGAAAGATAGGTACAATATTAATTCATTTTATTATTTCCAAAGAGAAGGTGTGAAAATAAACTAGAACACAACTGAGCTGAGTCTGTGTTTACAAAACTGAAAAGGCTAGACCACAGTGTGGTTTAGTGGTGATATAGTAACTTAGATAATTAAATCTCAGAAACAGTCAAACAATGTGCTCCCGGATGGAACTGAACATGCAAAAGATGTTGGAGGCAAGATAAATATTATTTTTGGTTCACACAAATCTGATACATTGGATAGGGGCTTTTCTCCATTCATTTACCTAGGGATCCAGGTTCCAGTCCCATATACACCATTCAGCATGGTTGCAGCATGGTAAGCAATCCCAGAGGCAGCACGTCTGCTCTTAAGTGCCTTGGACCAAAATTATATGTCACTGCTGGTGCCCTTTGTTTGCCTAAAACTAGTCATAAAGACCTGCTAGACTCTCCGTTGGCCAGTCTCTACCTAGTTACCCCCCACCCCTGTCACCATGTATTAATTAAATTCACTCTCATTCCCGTATGCACAATGGACTGGCCTCTCTCCAAGTGACCCAACACAAAGGCACCCAGTCTCTGCCTGGAGTTTAAAGGTCAGGGTCACTGGTTGTGCTTGTTAAGAAGTATAGAACCAGGCATGGGAATTCACTGGAGTCTCTACCACAGGATGTTTTGATCAAGTATGCTACATTGAATGCCTTTCACAATCAAAACACAGTCCTAGGTAGTTACATTTTTATGTATCACAATTTAATTAGATGTAGAGACAAAGAACAGAAAACCAACAAAAAACTATAACCATAGCATTGCTTTTTAAATCAGTTCTCATAGAAAATAAAAGAACTGTTAGTACAAATCTTTGGAAAGACCAGAATTGATCACTTAAGATTTAACATCAGCTGAGTTAGGACTTTTGGCTTCTTTAACTGTTTAATTTTTCACAATTTTAAGTAAAAGCTAAATGAGTATTTTTATGTACTGAGAAAAAACTGAGGTCATTTTACTAGCTATAAAATGATCACACATCTCACTAGTCATGCAGCTCAAAATAAGAGAATGAAAGAATAATTACAATTCATACTTTTTCAATGGAGACATTGAGCTAATAAAATTATAGGCAGCTTGAGGATAATTTGCTGTATGTTTTTTCTTTCCTTCACTTTCAGTGAGATCGTCGTAACATCTGTGCAAACCACAGGCTATAAGCTGTGGCTAGAGATGGCCCCAGCACAGTGCATGCTGTAAGGTTTATCTTCTCCAAGCTCGTTGAGGCTGAATAAACATGGCTACTAATGGGGTATTTCTGAGCTTATATTTGGCTAAAACATAGGCTCAAATCAATTAGCAAAAATCAGCTATGCAATAGGAGGCTTAGAGAAATGATTATTTAGGACCATTTGACACCTCTTTAGGAAAACAGCAGCTGTTAACCCAAGTCCACCACTTAGAACTTTTCTAACAATAACATGTAACACTGAATATCTTAGTCTGAATTTTCAGTCCAATAGCTTCTTGTGTAAAGCCGTAAGTATAGTTTATTTTTAAACTGGACTCCTGCATTGAGTTGAAAAGCTGCTTGTTTCTTTCAGGTAATAGTAGTGGCTTTTTGTACAACTGAAAAATAAATACTTTCTGTCCCTGCCTTTGTTGATCCATTTGTAAAAAGGAATTCTGAGAATTTTTACAGCAGAATGCGGAAAAGCATATTTAGAGCCCAATTTCCAATAACACAAAATTCTGAAAACCTTGAAAATAAAAATGATTTAACAATTTTATGTTTTGTCTTATTCTGCAAAAAAAAATGTAAAAATAAAGATGAGGGATTATATGAAGCAATGTTCAGACATTCAGAACCAAAGAGACCAAAAAAAAGAGAGCGAATTGAAGTAAAATATGATATACCCAGGATTTACATCAGTGAACCAAATATAGCCTAAAATTTTGATTTGTGCTTTGCAGCAGCCAGCCAAAAGAAAAAAAAAAACCATATTTTATTATTTCATATAAATAAATAAATTAAAAATGAATGAATCAATAAATAAAGCAAACCAGTGTCTCAGTTCTGAAATATTTTCTGGAACTGAGAACTGAAAGGAATTTCTACCATGGACACACTAACAGGGAGATTGGATGAAGTCTTTAAAACCTCTGGAAATAGATGTGATAAGAAGTTTCTTTTGACTTTTTATTATGTTTTGTGATTATGACAGTAATGGCTAACAATTTCCCATGACCCATTTATTCAACAGTTTTTGGTGGCATATGTAATGAGTACTGGGTGTTAAGGAAGCAATGGCGAAGGAGAGACACCCTCTCTACCCTCATGGGGCTCACAGACTAGTGGAGCTATGAAAATATAGGCAAATGAGTCCTATGATTGGAGAAGCCAATGAAAGAGGGCAAGGGGGTGCAGAGGTAAAGAGAAGGGTCTTCTAAGCTTTGGGGTAAAGACTGCAAACACCCTAAAGGGAGAAAATGATGGCCATTCTGAGAACTGAAAGTGTGCCCAGTGCACAGAGGGCATGAAGAACACAGGAAGGTGAGATTATAGATGGGAGCCAGTAACCAGATAATAAAGGGCTTCGTAAGCCGTGTTAAGCAATCTGGCCATCAACATGAGGACAATGAACCAAAGCAAAGTTGAATGAAAATGATTCCAGGGTTTATCAAAGCAAAACAAAACACTCAAACAACAACCAGAAAATTAAATGGACTTCAGCAACGCCACTGGAAAAACTAACAAAATTAAATGCTTATAAAGTGTGAGATGAACAGGGAAATGTAATGCTTATTCTGTGTCACCTGCTACTGGTTCCTAATACAGCAGCTGGATTCTACTCTGAGAGAGACAATACTGCAAGAGACACAGCTTGTTCCCTTGCAGTCCTGAGTCTCTTCCAACAGAT